GAGACACTCTCAAAAGTGCCAGACTCTGAGGAACAAGGGATGCTACACAGCGGGGCAATACAGGACCTCTTCTTCATAAGGCCCATTACCCTCAAAAACAGCAGACATAGGTGACTTCCCTAACACACAGAAACAGGCACAGAAACTTAGAAAAAAATGAGAAGATAGATAAATTTATCCCAAATGAAAGAACAGGACAAGGCCACAGCAAGAGATTTAAGTGAAACAGATATAAGTAACATGCCTAATAGAGAATTTAAAATAATGATCATAAGGATATTCCCCGGACTTGAGAAAAGAGTAAAAGACATGAGTGAGACCCTTAACACAGAGATAAGGAATAGTGAAGCAGAAATAAAAGGCACCATAAGTGAAATGAGAAACATGCTTGATGGAATTAACAGCAGGCTGGAAGAAGCAGAGGAACAAATTAATGACCTAAAAAACAGAGTAATGGAAAGTAATCAAGCTGAACAAAAGAGAGAAAAAAGAATTATGCAAAAGGAGAATAGACTTAGGGAACTCAGTGACTCCCTCAAACATAATAACATTCATATTATAGGAGTCTCAGAAGAAGAAGAGAGAGACAAGGGAGCAGAAAATTTATTTGAAGAAATAATAGCTGAAAACTTCCCTAACCTGGGGAAGGAAACAGATATCCAGATCCAGGAGGCATGGAGAACCCCTATCAAAATCAACAAAACAGATCCACACCAAGACATTGTAATCAAACCAGCAAAATATAGTGATAAAGAAAAAAATTTAAAAGCATGAAGACAAAAGAAGACAATAACATACAAGGGAAAACCCATAAGGCTAGCAGGGTTTTTTTTCTACCATTGAAACAATGTGACATTTGTGTATGAATAGACAATCATTCAAGTGGAATAGAAAACAAAATCCAGACATAGGCCAAAGAAACATGAAAATTTAGTATTTGTAGAGGTAGCTTTAAAATGACTAAAGAAAAGACCAATTGCTTAAGAAATAGTCCTGGAACAACTGAGAACCCGTTTAGAAAAAGACAAAATTAAATAAATATATCACAACATTCAAAATTTTTTAAAAAGTTCCAAGTAATCTGCTCAAGTTACTTAGGCTGCTATCATTCAGAAGTACTAATCCCAAAAGTATGTTATTTTTCAGATATCAACTTAAACCTTTTACCACCCAATAATTAAGAAATGTTATCATAGAAGTATAAAAACTAGGTGTCATCATTTTGGCTCCTAACAGATTTACTTTTACTGAATTGTACTTTGGCATTATGACATCAGTCTGAAAGACGGAAATCACACAATACCATGAACTGCTGCCCTTCTTTTGAACTATTAATGTATTTTTTATAGAAGGGAAAAGAGAGTCATATAACTGATCATGTGTCACTGTTTTGGCCAGTAGGAAGTTCAGACTAAAATTTACAAAACAGTTCCAAAAAAATGTACAGGACTTTGTGGCTATATATTGAGAAAAGACAGTTTTTCAGTCTCAGCTGAGTTTATTTTTTTTAAGGTTATTTATTTATTTATTTATTTGTCAGAGAGAGAGAGAGCACAAGCAGGGGTAGCAGCAGGCAAAGGGAGAAACAGGCTCCCCACTGAGCAGGGAGCCTGATGCGGGACTCGATTCCAGGACCCTGGGACCATGACCTGAGCCAAAGGCATACACTTAACCAACTAAGCCACCCAGGCATCCCCTCAGCTGAGTTCTTAATACCACTCAGAAATTATTTTATAAGTCTTCAGTCACTCCCCTACTTACTCTTCACAGATCTCCTCAAGCACCCTCTTTCCACATGCCCACAGTCCTCTAACTCTTGGGATTGTCTCCTACTTATACAGAAAACAAAATCTACCTTATTTCACCTCCTTAACTTCTCCCTTTGAAACAAATCCCTATACTTGTGCTATGCACAACTCATTTATTCTTGATCTTTTTTGCGTTTTAGAGAAATTTGAATTTCCCCCCAGGTGTTGCTTAAGTCCAACACTCAAATTTTTACAGTGATTTGTTCTCATTCAGTTCTAAATATTTTCTAATTTCCACTGTGATTTTTTTTCCTTTTCTGTATGTTTTTACATTACCAAAGTTTATCTTACAGCTCTTACATTGTTAATTTAAAACTTAATTGCACTGTAGTTAGAAAATGTATCCTTCTGGGGGTGAGCGTCCAGCTGTGGTATTTTCGAACCTTATTTCATGTACTTTCCCTAAATGATTTCATCTGTTACAACTGCTTCAAATAATACCTCTATGTGGATGATTACAAATGTTTGTCTCTAGTCCTATTCTCTTCTGAGTTTTAGGCCTATAGTTTTCTATAGACTTATCAGGTTAATTTCTTGTATGTCCAACAGATACTGCAACCCTAACAAATTCAAAACCAAAGCATTATCTCTACCACCCCTCTGAAAACTTTCTTCCTTCTCCCTTTTTATTCTCTATTTTTAGAATGGTGATCCCACATTCCACCCAACTCTTCAAACAACAAACATCAAAATTGTCTCTTACTCCCATGAACTGGAGTGTTCATGGGAATGTTGTTCGCTGGAGTGTTCAAGTGCTGTGAATTCTATATCCTAATTATTTCTGGAAGCCGTCCTTTCTTCTCAATTGTAACAGGCCCTCATCATTTATAGCCTGCCTTGCATCATCCTCTTAAATAGTGTTTAGTTTTGTCACCTCTCCCTCTCTCCTTCTCTTTTACCGTTTTGCTCTTGCTACCACAAGTGTTGAAAACACAGTCTGATCATTTCATTCCCTTGCTTAAAAATCTTTGATCACTGCCTAAATAAAGTCCAAATTTAACACAATATATAAAACCCCTTATCTGAGAAAATTTATCTACTGTGCTAGTAGAAACTTTTCAGGCTTTATGTAATATTAAACATACTATTGTAAATTCTTGGACCTGCAACTCTATCAAAAGTCTAATGTGATGGGTATTAAGGAGGGCACGTATTGCATGAAGCACTGGGTGTCATATGCAAACAATGAATCATGGAGCACTACATCAAAAACTAATGATGTATGAGAGACGATGGACTCTGAGAAACAAACTGATGGTTCTA